ATCGGCCATTGTGTGATAGTTGGGGGAAATGTCGATTCAGATCCTTCATGTTTTTTTTTTTACTATTGAATTCTAAAAGTTCTGTATTTTTGGTCCTTTAAGCAGTAAGCATGATTGTTGTGGCTCTTTCTATCAGGTTGTAGAAGTTCTCTTCTTTTCCTAGTTTTTAGAGTGACTTGATAATGAGAAAGGGTTCATCTATCATCAAATGTTTTTCTGAATCATGTGATATTTGCCCTTTATTCTATTAATAGTAATTCAATTATATTAATTGATTTTAGTATGCTAAACCAAACTTATATTCTTAAAATAAACCCCACCTGAGGGCTGGGGATTTAGCTCAGTGGGGCAGCACCTGCCTGGCAAGCGTAGGCCTTGAGTTCGATTCCCATCACTGGAAAAAATAAAATAAAATAAAATAAAATAAAATAAACCCCACCTGGTCATGGTATAATTCTTTCTCTCTGTTACCAGATTTGGTGTACTAGTATTTTGTTAAGGATTTTGCATCTATGTTCATAAGAGATACTGATCTAAGGATTGTTATTCTTGTGATGTCTTCATCTAGTTTTGGTATCAGAATAATGATGAGTTGGCTGTTGATCCCTCTTCTACTTTTTGGGTGAATTTGGAAAGGATTGGTGTTCTTTTTTAATGTCTGATAGAATTCCCCAGTAAAGTCGTGGGATTGGCTTTCTTTGGGGGAAGGTTTTACTTCCTAATTTAAAAGTTTGAATTATTGTATTTATATACACTAGCAATCTATTCACACTTTCTATTTTTTCTTTAGTCAGTTTCAGCTGTTTATGCCTTTCTAGAAATTTGTCCATTTCCTTTAAATTATGTCTTTTTTTGTCATTTCCGTATTGTCCTTTTTATTTCTGTAAGATTAGCAGCAATATTTGTCTTTTATTTCTGAGTTTAGCAACTTCAGTCCACTCTGTATTTTTGGTCAGTCTAGCTAAAAGCTTGTCAGCTTTTAAAAATCTTTTCTATCGCTTCTCGGCCTTTTGGCTAACATCAAGTATACTATCTGTTCTTATCAATTTAAAAATCTTTTCTATAAACCTAATTTATTGGTACATCATTCACCTGCCATAAAATTAACCCTTTTAGAGTGTGCAGTTCAATGGCTTTTCGTACATTCACAAGGCTGTGCAACCACCACCACGATCTAACTCCAGACAA